ATTAGAAAATGTGTGGTCCTTTGTATGAACCTAATATATACTTTTAGTAACAGAGAATGAAATGGTAGTTTACAATAAATACGGTCACATTGATTATATACATAATAAANCAATAGAACTGTCACAAAATCATATAATTGAAAGAGAACACGGTTAGTGGTATACGAAGAATAGTCGAGCATGATCATAGAGATTAGAAAATGTGTGGTCCTTTGTATGAACCTAATATATACTTTTAGTAACAGAGAATGAAATGGTAGTTTACAATAAATACGGTCACATTGATTATATACATAATAAAGTAAGTAGGTGGTCGTTATATATTGCAGGTATTGTGGGACTTTAGGTGATATTAATTTGAAAATAAATGATAGAATAATTAAATGTGATAATTTTCTAGTAGATAGTCCAAGTTAAAAAAAATCACACATGAAATGAGGTTATGACTTCTCTTTTAATATAATAGATGGCCAAATGGAAGAACCCAAATTGCCAACTATTTTGTAATATAAATCCTCATATCATATATCTTAAGAACTAAAACAAAAAAAAAAAAACTAAATATTCCTAACACTTTCACGCAGAATATATATCTTTATGATTTGAACATATAAAGTGTTTAAATATGAATCATGACAAGACTCTTATGTAGAATATATTTTTTAGATCACTAAATAAGTTTTTATTTAATATATTATTAGGTCTTGGTTTTTTCAGTATTTAAATATTTACGCTTTGGATTTTAAAATTTTACTTATTTTTATAATTTTTATTATTTTAGATAGCGAGTTAGTTCAATTAACTCATGATCTAGATGATCTGAGTTCGAGTTTATATATTGAAGCTCATATAATAAAGGAACTGAGCTGAGCTAACTCATGAAAGACCCGAACTCACTATAAGTCGAGCTGAGTGAGTTAACTCATTTTGACACTCTTAGGTCACTTAGACCTAACATTTATTTTGTAAATTTTTAAATTAAATACATATTTCTACTTAATAGTTAAACATACATTAAATTATTAATATTACTTTCTTTATACTACTATCTATGTTTCCAAACAATATATATATATATATATATATTTTTTTTTATAATCCTATCTATGTTTCCAAACAATATACTCATTTATTTATATTACTATCCATGTTTACAAACAACACTATCACTAATCTTATGTCCAAACAATACAAAATATTAAATTCACCATTTTGATATTTTTTTACAATTTGTTTTTCAAATTATTTAGATAATTTTTAAAAATTCATATAATATATAAAACAATGAAAATAAAATTATTTTTACATGTTTAAATATTACATACCAGTTATCCATCAGTATAATTGGTTATTCTTGGTTTTAGTAATTTTTTAAATATGGATATTTTAAAAATAAAAATTGAATTATCGGATCACCGGTTTAACACGGTGCGGGTTGAATTTAAAAATACTGATTTAAATGAAATAATATTTTAAATACATAAATTCTTTCAAATTACCAAAATATTTTGAAGCTATTTATGAAATTTTCATCATAAAAATATGTGCTTACGAAGTTAAGACCAAAATTAAGTTTGAATTTGACCTAATCTACAAAATAAATGTTAAAGCCAAAAATTCTAGAAATTTGTATATTATTTTAAAAACTTTGCATAATTATTAACACTAGAAGTAACTAAACGCTCAAGTTATTTTTCTAATGCAAATAGTTTACTTTGAATTTGATTTTGTATTTCGAACAAACGTACTGAATTAGTGTTTTCACTGCACGATTACATCTATATAATACACTGTTTGACTCTATTAATACAAAAAACAATTTTGATATTGTTCTTTAAACATATGATCGAATTAGACAAACTCGAAACTATATAAAACTAAATTATATACAGTATATCTGAAAAAATAAAATCTGTGCATCCGCATGGATCATGATCTAGTAGAGAATTAAAGGAAACAATTACTGTCTATCCATTCTTTAAAAGTTACACTAGTTATGAGGAACATTAGTTACATATGATTTCTTGTAATTTTTTAAAATTTCAAGGAATTATAAACACAAAAACATTCTTTTTCAAAATTGATATGGAAAAAAGTAATAAATATTTCTTGTCATTTCTTTTAGAGAAATTTTCTATGATAACTTTTTTTAGTTTATTTTCACAAAAATAACATTCAAAGTAAAATACGACCAAAAAGTTTATTAAAGGGAAAGTATATTCGTATACATTTGGGGTACTAATCTTAGACATTTTTGTTTAGAGTTAAGAGGTTGGTTTTGAGGGTTTAAAGTTTAAAATATTCAAAAATTGAAAATAAATATTAAAATTTTTAATATAAAATTTGAAAAATTGTTTCAAGTGAATTTCAAAAAGACAATTTTTTTAAAAAATTGAAAAGCTATAAAAAATAAAATACCAATCTGAAAAGTATAATCTGAAATATTAAAAAAGTATTTTTTTATATTTTATTTATTATTTTTATATTTAATGAAACTTGATCATTTTCTTTCTTGAATATATTTTTTTGCTTCTTTAATCTGAAATATTAAAAATTGTTTCAAGTGAATTTCAAAAATACAATTTTTTAAGAAATTGAAAAGCTATAAAAAATAAAATACCAATCTGAAAACATATAATCTGAAATATTAAAAATTATTTTTTATATTTTATTTTCTTGAATTTTTAATAGCACAATTTTTTTTCCTTCTTTAATGAAACTTGATCATTTTATTTCTTGAATATTTTTTTCTGTAACAAAAACTTTAAAAATATTTTTTGAAAGAATTGTCCTTTCTTTTAATAGGTTCCTATTCATTTTCTTTATTCATATTTTTATTTTATTGCTCATCAGTTACAGTCTTGGTGTATGTGCTTCATATTTTTATTTTATTTATCACATTCACATGCTCCATGTGAGCTATATTAACGTTGAACGTTCCTGATTTTGATATCAAATATCTCATAACTAGTGAACTTTTTTTTTCTTAATTTTGGAGGTATTCGGGCTTATGAAGAAGTCCAGACTAATTTCTAAAGAGATGATATAGTCCATAGATGAACATTTACTCCACATATTTAAATAAGCCGTAAAACATACTCATATCCATGTGACCATAAGATAAAATATAGTGAAGTGATTTTGAGCCCGGATTAGTTAGCAAATCCGAAAGCTCACCTATCGAAACAACGTTGTAAATAATTAAGGAAGAAACATATACTCGTAGTTTGTATCGTTCGAGTTAATATCATTAGATATTAGTTTACAAAAATATATCATTAGATATTGGATAAGGCCCTCTCCACAACCCATTATCCATGCATATCATAAAATGTCCTCACGAATCGATGTCTACCACAACTTTTATTTTTAATACTTGCATGATGTTTGCTAGAAAGTATAAACCTAAAGTGGGCCAAAGTCTCTTTTGTAAAGTTGGTTTTGTTGCAAAGTTGGTAAAATAAGCTAAATAGAAAATGACAACTGTGTTTCTATCCTTTTAAAATTATATAATAGGCCACTCACTGCCGGATGTGATTTAATAAAATTTATTGTTTTTTTTGGTCAACAGCAATAATAAAGTGGAGAAAATAAAATACAAAATGGTGAAAGCATGTTAAAAGGAAAAAATCGACGCCTTTTCAAGTTGTTAGGTTGTTTCATAGGCTTTTAAACATAAGTCTAGGCCCGTGAAAGATCGACCAACACAAGATTAATATGCGATCACTCGATAGAGCGGTAGGTAGAGGCCTAAAGGCTCAAAAGATTAAGCCCAGTAGCAGTAGAGTACAAAGTTGAAACGGATTTATCCAGTTGACAAATTAGCATTATCTATACTATCTATACTATTATTTGCGAAGTGATTTTTCGCAACGGAACTCCCACATTAAAAGTTGGAGTGGTTAATATCGATTATACCCTTAATGAATAATTATAAATTAGCCAAAAATAAAAACAAATTTAATACATATTTGATTAGATAAATAATTTAAATTAGTAATAATGATAAGAATTATCCATAATTTAAATATATATTTAAAAGAAAAAGATAATTCTTATATATATTGTGTTGTTATCCGGAAAATATATTTAATTAAAAAATTCAAAAAAACACATAAATAAATATTCATAAAATATAATTTTTAATTGTATCTAATTCAAAAGAGAAAATTGAAAAATATAATATGTAATTATTTATTAAAAGAATATAATAATAGAATATAATATAATGATATATGTATATATTTGTGAAATTATTTTTCTGAACTCACACGTTAAATTAAATTTAAATTGTATATAATTAAACCTTAAACATGAATTAATCATATAAAATAAAATATCATTAAAAAGGAAAGAAAATACGTGTTTGATAAAAATAAATTCGAATATATTGTATTATTATCCCATCTAATATTATTCTTTTTGTACGATTAATTTTTGAATGTATATTTATCTTTTTAATTTTTCAAATGGAAAGATAGATTTCTATATTTTTATCAGTTAAAAAGAAATGAAATAGACTTTAGACTTTTCAAAGTTTTAAAGGAAAAAAATAGGTTTTTTAATTTGTGAATAATTTTATCTTGTAGAAAGTTTAATGTTTTCGGTCAGATTTTTTGGATGCAAATAATTATTTATTTTGATGATTTTTAAATTGATTAAAAGATAATTAAGCCCGCATGTGCGGGCAAAACACCTAGTTATATATATGGAGAATACATTAATATAATTTAAGATACCGTAGATATCTTTTTAATCTCAATTTTTTTGAACGTATTGTCAATGTCGCATTTTGACCTATAATATTTAGGGTCGAGATTAATAAATTTATAAATTACATATTTTAAAAATAATCTAATTATTGTCTATGTGAAGCTTGTTCAACAATTCAAGAGGTCGCTTGGAGCCTACGTATCTTTCTAAATCACCAAAAAGAAGGAAAAAATGAAGAAAAATACAATAATAGTTTTATTATTATTTTATTTACAAAGCTCCTCCAATTCCTCTATATAAGCCATATTCCACTCTCTCAATGCTTTTATTTCTCTGCCTTTAACTGCCCAAAAGATTCTCCAGCTAGCTTTCTCAAATCATTTTCTTTCTTCATCTCCTTCTTGCTTCTCTCAATCCAAAAAAAAAATTTAGGCTCTTTTTTCTTATTTTCTTGTTCTTGAATCTTTAAACTACAAAAGTATACAAATACATATATATACACTGTTACATAGTCATGGCGGTTGTGGTGGAAGAAGGCGTGGTGTTGAATCATGGAGGTGAAGAGCTTGTTAATATGCCACCTGGATTCAGGTTTCATCCAACAGACGAAGAGCTCATAACATGCTATCTCAAAGAGAAGGTCTTAGACAGCCGTTTCACGGCTTTGGCCATGGGAGAGGCCGATCTCAACAAGTGCGAGCCTTGGGATTTGCAAAGTAAGTTGTATTTAAAGATTTTGTATTCTAACAAAATTTTCCAAAAATTCATTTCTTCTTTGACCATTTGCAAAAGTATTCACACAAGGCTTAGCTTCTTGGTTAAGATTATCAATTCTTGAATCATATTTTCACACGAGGCTAACTTGTTTTTCTTGAATTTTCACTTTATAACCAAACAAATTTCAATCTTCTTTGACTTCTTGACCATGATTCTGATTTGTTTTTTTTTCTTTTTTGCTAATTCTTTGATGATTCTGATTGTAAATTCTTGTTTTTTTTTTGTGTGGGCATAGAGACTAGTGCAAAGATGGGGGAGAAAGAGTTATACTTCTTCTGTCAAAGGGACAGGAAGTACCCGACCGGGTTGAGGACGAACCGTGCCACCGAGTCCGGGTATTGGAAAGCGACTGGGAAGGACAAGGAGGTCTTCAAAGGCAAAGGCTGTCTCGTTGGGATGAAGAAAACACTTGTGTTTTATAAAGGAAGAGCTCCACGAGGTGAAAAGACTAATTGGGTCATGCATGAGTATCGTCTTGAAGGCAAATATTCTTATCACAATCTTCCCAAATCCGCAAGGGTAAGTTCATATAACCAATCTAAACATTCTCAAATGTTTTTGAAATCTATAGAAGAGAAAGGTCTAGTTTATTTATTAATTTTCGTTTTCTTAAACCATAAGTGTTTAATTTGGTGGAAATTTTGTCCTTTTCAATAAGTTTGAGTTTATATACAATCCAATATTGGTGTTTCAAAAAAAAAAAAAAAATACAATCCAATATTGAGTAACAAGCTAAAATAAAATATTGAATAGCATATCTAACAATTTTGTTTGTTTGTGATCTTGATTACAGGACGAGTGGGTCGTGTGTAGGGTTTTTCACAAGAACAATCCTGCTACTACAACCCAACAAATGACGAGAATACCCATTGAAGATCTCCCAAGAATGGATTCTTTTGATAACATTGACCATCTCCTAGACTTCTCATCTCTTCCTCCTCTCATGGATCCGAGTTTCACGGGCCAATCCGAACAACACAGCTTCAAACCCATCAACCCTCCAAGCTACAACATCTCATCACCAATCCAAGCCCATCACTTCAACTCTAGTTATTTGCGAAGTGATTTTTCGCAACGGAGCTCTCACGTTAAAAGTTAGAGTGGTTAATATCGATATTACCCTTAATGCATAAATATATAAATCAGCCAATAATAAAAACAAATTTAATATTTATTTGATTAGATAAATGATTTAAATTAATAATAATGATAAGAATTATCCATAATCTACATATATATTTAAAAATAAAAAGATAATTCCTATATATATATTGTGTTGTTATCCGGAAAATATATTTAATAAAAAAAATTCAAAAACATAAAACACATAAATAAATATTAATTAAGTAAAAACGTTAACTGTATATAATTGAAAATAAAGAATTTTTAAAAATTATAATACGTAATTATTTTCAAATTAAAAGAATATAATAATATAATATAGTGATATATATATACATATATATATATATATATATATATATATATATATATATATATATATATTTGTGAAGTTATTTTCGCCCCTGGGCTCACACGTTAAATTAAATTTATTTTTATATTTTTATATATAAGTAATCCTTAAACATGAATTTATCATAATAAAGTAAAAATCATTCAAAAACAAAAAAAAAACGTTTTTGGCAAAAATAAATTTTAATTGTATTATTATCTAAACTAATATTATTCTTTTTGTAAGATCAATTTTTGAATGTATATTTATCGATTCAAATTTTCAGATTGAAAGATAGATTTCTATATTTTTATTAATTAAGAAGAAAGGAAATAGACTTTAGATTTTTTAAAGTTTAAAAGGAAGAAGTATATTTTTTTAATTTGTGAATAAATTTATCATGTAAAAAAAAATTAATGTTTTAGGTTAAATTTTTTGGATGCAAATATCATTTATTTTGATGATTTTTAAATAGATTTAAAGATAATTAAGCCTGTATGTGCGGGCAAAACACCTAATGAATCAATAAAAGGTTTGTGGAATAACCTAGTGATTGATGTGTAAAAGATTCTACATCTACATTCATTCGAAGTTTGAATCCTAAATAATTTAATTTTCTTATTTGTAGATTATAGGATATAAAATTTATTGGAGATTCCAAAGTCCTATAGACAGAACTGTTCGTTGTGATCATCTCTTACGGAGAGCAAATCTATTGAAAGTGTCGTCTATGCAGAACCGTATATCGATCAAAGTGTCTCGGGGAGAACTTCATCATAAAACATTATTTGTAGAGTTATTTATAAATATTTCATATGTTTTTTTTTAACATTAAAAGGTTATTCCATTACTCAAACTTGAGGTGATCTGGAAATCTAGACCGAATAGAACAACCAACAAGTCAACTGACGATAAAAGTTACGAGCAGTCCTGGCTAAGCCATCTGCAGTCCGGTTAAGCGTTCTTGGTACGTGTGAAATCTTGAAATCTGGAAGTCTTCTCTTCAATAAAGCAAACTATCCTAGCTCTGTGGAGTAACTTGGCCAGTCCTTCGGGTTCATTATCATTGCCATAACATTTTTGCAGTCCATTCCAAAATATTGGCAATTGGTGTTTTTAATCATGTTCTCCATAGCCCATATCAGCGCCTCCAATTCTGTATGCAAAGAAGACATACGGTTTTCTTTGTTCCTTATTCCTAGTAACTGCTCATTTCCTAACATGTCCTTCCAAACCCATCCATATCTGATGCGGTCTGCTTCAGCTTTCCATGATCCATCCACTAGACAAATGTTTTGCAAGCTTATGGCTTGTGTATCCATGTGTGCTATCTGATCTACTTCTGCAGTCTTTGCATTTGCTTTAAACCAAGCTTTACATTCACTCTATGCATATATGACTAGTTCAAGCGGATCTATGCCTCTGAAAAGTTTGTCATTCCTTGATTTCCATAAAAACCATATAATCCATCGGTATGGATCTATGTCCAGTCCAAGATCTTCAGTCTCATTCTTTGTGCAGAACAGATAATCCATGTTTGTAAATATGCTTGTTGTCGGAAAGATTCCCAAGCACGAGGGTGTCGAGACAAGAGCCCATGTCTGCAAAGCCGGTGGACATTCAAAAATAGCATGATTAACTGTTTCATCTAGCTCACCACATCTAGGACAGTAATTGTCCCAATGCATATAGCGTCTAATTAAATTTCCGGTGACCGCTATGTATCCAGACAGCAGCTGCCATATAAGATGGCGGATCTTCTGTGGAGCCTGAATTTTTCAAGCAAAGGATTTTAAACTAGTTATACTTGGTTCCGTCACCGATTCTTCAACCTCGCAGTTCAGAATATTTCTCGCGGCCCAGTAACCTGATTTCACCATATACATCTCATGTTGAGTATAGCTCTATCTGTACTCATATGTTATAGATAATTAATCATTATATCTAATAGAAATAGAAATAGATATTATATGTGATTTAATTGTTACCTAACGTTAAAAAGAATCAATAAAAAAATTAACATCTATTCTCAAATGTAACTATTTATTTTCAGAAACTGAATTTAAATTTAACAATCTAATAATCATTGGAAAGGAAACTCAAATATAATTTAAAATCATAAAGTAATATTATTATATAAAGAAGAGTTTTATCTCTTCTTATGTTGCCATATCACTAAATAGGAGAGGAAAAATTCGCCACGTGTCCACATCTCTGAAAAAATAATCAATGGTTTCATTTGGTGTTATGGGCTTTAAAGAAACTTTATGATTAATGGGTCGGGACCATCACCACCATGTCTTCTTCTCGCCGAGGCCACCATGGTCGTGTTTCCTCTGTTCGATTGAGTTTGCCTCTGCTGTTTTCATCATCACAACTGTAAATCGCCATGGTTGGTTCGAGCATGTAGAGTCGAGCGCTTCAACCTTTATATTTCGGTTGATTTGTGTTCGTCAGAGCAAGGTTGGGTCAAGACAGGAGGATCGAGTACTCCAATCTTTGTTCGTTGGTCTTTTTTTTCTTTACGGACTGGAAGCTTCAAGCTTTGATCGAAGGAGACGAAGCGACCAAACCAAATATGTGCTCATCGATTGATGCAAACTCTTAGATTGTTTACATCGGCGTTTGGGTTGAGATGGAGAGGTCGAGCAGAGCGGATTGAGGGATATGGATTCTTCACGTCGACCACTTTGCAACTCACGACACATCAATGACTACTTTCTGATGGTTTGCACTTTTGGTCCCTGAGCTTTTGACAAATTTCAGTTTGACCCCAAACTTTGATTTCATACAAAATATACTCAAAATTGCCTCATAACTTATAATTGTGTTTTCTAACCATTTTATGAAATATGTACAAATGCCAACCCCTAACTCCTAGACACTAAACTGATCAAAATTAATAGCTAAAAACATATGAAAACACTATACATTAGTGGTTCTAACAAGACTACTACACATGAAAAAGATGGAGATACTGCTCCTTCCCCTGAAAGAATAAAACTTTTCTATGATTGTGCTATTAAATATTCTTGGTGAACTGGCATCTCACAACTTGGATAACTCAGAACGAGGCTCTTATCAGCAAGGGGAAAGTAAATCTTTCACATTCTTTATGTGGTATCATTCGCTTTTCTTCTGTAGCAAATAATATATTAGTAGATTCAATAACTTTAGTCTGATATATTCAAATCATGCAATAATGTGATTAAAAAATCACATTTATCTTCCTCTTTTTAATATTTTTTCATTTATCTTTTTTTTTGAAAATTATAATAAGTAATAATTTTTTGACACTAAATACCTGTAAGTATTATACCACCAAACAGCTCTCAATAGAAAAATGATTAAAAAATTACAACAAACGTAAAATTAAAGAAAAAACGTTGAACATATAAATTTAACTTAAAAAGGAACTACGTAGAGAAAAATCATTTTAAATATAGAAAAATAAATTTGAAGTAAACAAAATAAAATTGTAACAAATTTAAAATAGAACTTATTAAATTCAATAAATTTAAGACTCAAACAAATACTATAATTTTAAATAGTAGTGATCACTATTAAACTTTTATCTAGTCTACCTAACTTAAATATATTTCCAGTTAGAATGGATCAAACTTCACAACTTTTAATAAGAAAATTATTAAACTCATTAAGCAATTTTTTTTTAAACTAATTCTAACAATTATCGTTAAACTAAAACAAACTTTAAAAGAAAGGATAATAATAAATAGATAAAGATGTCAAAAACGGTAAACTGTTTATGCAATATGTACAAATGCCAACCTCTAATGACATCGAAGTGTAACTCCTAAACACTAAAATGACCAAAATTAATAGCTAAAAACATATGAAACACTATACATGAGTGGTTCTAACAAGGCGACTACACATAAAAAAGATGGAGGTATTGCTCCTTCTCCTGAAAGGATACAGTTTTCTCTATGATTGTGGTATAAAATATTCTTGGTGAATTGGCATCTCACAACTTGGATAATTGAGAACAAGGCTCATATCAGCAAGGAGGGAGTGAAGTCTTTCACATTCTTTCTGTGGTATCATTCTATTTTCTTCTGTAGGAAATAATCTTTTAGCAGATTCATTGACTTTAATCTGATATATTCAAATCATGCAATAATGTGATCAAAAACTCACATTCATCTTTCTCTTTGTAATATTTTTTATTTATCTTTCTTTTCGAAATTATAATAAATAATAAAATTTGTAAAGTAAATATCCATTACTATTACACCACCAAACAACTCTCAATAGAAAAAAAGTGATTATAAAATTTACAACAAAAGTAAAATTAAAGAAAAATGTTGAACTATAAAAGTTAACTTAAAAAAGGAACCATGTAGAGAAAATACATTTTGAAATATACAAGAAGTAATTTTTAAATAAACAAAATAAAAGTGGAACAAATTTAAAATAGAACTTATTGAATTCAATAAATTTAAGACTCAAACAAATATTATAATTTTAAATAGTAATGATTGCAATTAAACTTTTATGTAGTTTACCTGACTTAAATATAGTTCCAGTTAGAATGGATCAAATTCACAACTTATTAATTATAACTTTGTTAAACTCATCGAGCATTTTTTTAATACTATATCTAATTGTTATTGTTAAACTAAAACGAACATTAAAAGAAAGTAAAATAATAATCTTATAATTAATAACACATGATTTTTTTAAATAAATAGGCAAATAAATAGATAAATTGTTTTTTTGCAACATGAAATTAATTTTAGTTTCAGTTTAGAATAAGTTAAACATATTAAGTAGAGAAATTCCTTAGGATAAGTAGAAAAATTCCTTATGATAGACCTAAATTTTTTTTGTCACAAATATAGACCTTAAGAATAAAAATACCAAAATAGACTTAAATGTTTTATCAACAATAAGTAAACACTTATACCCTTTGGGTTAAGTAATCCTAAACATTTTTGTGTAGAGTTGAGGAGTGTAGTTTTGGAGATAGGATTTCAATTTTTTTTTTAAAAAAAAAATTGGTCATTTTAGTTTTTGAAGTCTATTTTATGATAAAAACTTAAAAAGTATATTTGAGAAAATTACCCTATTAAATAACTTATATTATTTATTTCATGTCCTAGAGCGGGCTTGCTAGTATTGTATAATACAAGATTTAAGTGCATTTTTACGCTTTTTGGTGATGTAATACCATACCTGTTTTGGGGTTCTAACACTTATAATGTTCAAATGTTTTGTTAGAGAACTAGCTGGTCTCACACGTTGGCTCACCTTGTAGTACGCCAGTTCTAGCCGCTCTTCTCGGCTACGTGGGTTGGTACTTCCAGTGGTAAATTCATCGTCTCCTGCCATTTGAATATGAGAGAGCTTGTTAGCTTTTCTACTCTGTTTTGAAACGGTTCGAGTTTTAACAAAAATAGCTGAATTATGAAAATCGTTTTGACACACAGGATCCAGTAATTGGTGCCTTGGTGGGAGCTAACTATTAACGTATACAAGGTTAAGCAGAAAACTCACTCTCATTTCTGCCAAAAACAAATTGTGTATATTATATTGTTTTTTTTTTGATAAAAATGTTAAAATTTAATACCAAATTTTAAGTTTTTTACAGACAAACAGAAAAAACAAGAAACAGATGACAAAAATTAAACCTAACACAAACTCAGATCTACACAAAAACAGGGCATAAACTACAAGCAAAGCAACATCGCAGGAAGAAAGCATCAAAGACCAAGTGTTCACTTGCCACATAATCGAACCCGCAGTTAAAATGAGATATTGGACCCGATAGAGTTGGGCATACCCGGTGACCAAATCTAAAAGATCGGACAGTCAAAAACAGCTCGCTAGGCCCACCTAATCCATTGCCTTCAAGGACAGACCACTACACCTGCAACCAAGGACACCGACAAAGAGAAGATCGAGATTTATTTGGGGAAGGAGCATCCAAAGGCGTCACGTGCCATCGAACCTGCACTGGAGAGACAGAGACAACAACCTCCACCCAGTGCCGACTCTGAGCATGTGCTCAAAATGCATTTTAAACAGGATCTTTTTTTTTTTTTCATTTTTACCTAAGGAATTAGGATACTATTTTATAATAAATACATAATTTAGGTTCTTCTTTTTCAAAATTTACAGCAATAGTGTACCAAAATTGTAAGAAATATTTTTCACCTAGCACTAGGCCCAAATATATTTTAAGCCGGAGGCCTGCCTCCACCCTAAGGAGGAGGTTCACAAAGCAGCTCGAGATCAGTCCTAGAACCCTGTTGACTCAGCATGCATTGCCACCGAAGAGCCTAGCCGCGGTTGACAAAACCAGCAACTATTCTCGCCGCACACACCCCCGCGATGGAGAATCCGTCGAAGACCAAACCAGTTTGGAAACAAAGGCAACTCGTTGAGAGAAGAGTTGACCGGTGACGTATATTATATTGGTTATAATGCATTATCTTGAAACAAGCTATGGATTCGATCACTAGTCTAGTCTTTGTTCACATATTAGTCTTCGTTTTAAATCACTAGCTCGAGTAATGAGGCCCTAGAAGTAGACAAAATATAACAATCATTACATACAATAAAAGTACACATCTTCCTCTTTGGCAATAAGTACACATTGTTTTTGTCTACCTACTTGCATTATTTTTCTGAAACTTCTTCCAAGAAAAGACCAAAAAAAAACAACCTAGAATATTACAAACGAGTCCCTCCATTAACCATCTGGTTATACTTGGCCAAAGATTCTAGTCTTTGCAATCTCATCTCATCGTTGAACTTCTTGATAAACGCTTCTACACGCCTGTTCAGCTCTTCCTGGCCCGGCGATGGCTCTCGTTTCAACCGCAACGTCCCCTCCGACTCCGTAGGTTTCTTTATGTCATTTAAGTTCTCAGACTTTGTCATCTTCTCCTTCTTTTGCACGTGCGACCTTTCTTGCCACGTGTCGGATTTAGTCAAGTTCTTCGTTAACGGCGTCGAGCGTCCTTCCGTTATCTTCTTCCACGTCGTCTCCAGCGTGTCCTGCCTCCTCGAGTCCTTTGACTTTTTAGTTCCACTTCCACCACCCCCTGCAGAAATTTTGGAATAGGTTAAATTACGCATTTACCCCTCAAGTTTAGTTTCCATATGAATGAAAATACTGTACCTTCTTGGCTATTTTTAAGCGATCTTTGTTGACTGAATCTCGGCGGTTTCCTCGACAGCTTCACAACCGAAACCTCCGGCGAACCACTCTTCTGTTTTGTCTCCTCCTTCTCCGGTTCCGGAGAGGCACTACTCGGTTTTGGCTTCTCCGTCTCTGCATGTTGATCTTGTTGACCATCCACAACTATCACGTTACCATCAGTGATGGGTCCTTCGTGGACATCTTCAACCGGTGCATCATTCTCTTCAAAACCGGTATAATTAGAGACGACTTGCGCCACGTTTAAGTAACCAGTGTCGATATCAGAAGGCACCGCGGGTACTACTGTCACCGGCGTTACTACTTCCGAGAACTCAGACTCATCGATATTAGAAGATGCTTTCTGCGTGAGCTTAGAAGTAGCGACGATGGTGACGATGATACAGTTGGTGAGTAAGTAAAGATACGGTGGCTTGATGAGGAAGACTGTGTTATCATAGACGATAGGAAAGCACGACGTTAAGAAAAGCGAAACTGAAGGAACAGTGAAACTCACCGCCGCGGCAATAGAAAATACGCCGGCGATGACGACGGTGGCTGTTGTTTTGAAGGAAGAGGTAGGGAGGAGAAGCGGCATGGTGAGTGATCTCATTTGCCTCGGGAACTTGGAGTTATGGTTCGGTGGTTCTTATCTACAAAAAGAAAGCATAGGTGAGTGTGTGTGTATATATATTAGAAAAATTGGTGAAATTTAATTTAAATGTGGTCCTTATTGTGTGGGCTTTTCACAGGATCACAAGTGGGTCCTTTACATAAGGTATGGTGATGGAGGCTTATCTGAGTTACACGTGGGTTTGATGCGTTCGCTTGAAGTGAGAACCTTACCTAACATAACAACAAGATTTTGAGAATTACTAATAACAAAGTTAATATGGCTTTCTATAAGATAGAACAATAAAACAACAACAAAATAGTTAAAATAAGTAAAGAGAGAGTGGTAACTATGGAGATATATTTGATATGTCTGAGTTATTTCTCATAACCACTCCAGATATTCTCAAAATATATTTTAATATACTATGTTCTGTGACAGTAACCACACCTCACCTATGTATCAAACCGTCTACATATCCGCTGTGGATTCGTTCGCAGTCCTGAAAAAGGCTAAGAAAGCATAAATTTCCGATTTTTTTTGTTTATGTAAAATATCGTCCAAAATATTTAATAAAACAATAAATAATTAAAGGTTAATAAAAGTTAAAATAGAGATCTGTGTAGAAGATTCAATTCCTAGCTATAACAATAGATCTTTATTTATTGATTATTTTCCATCTATAAACATTCACGATCGACACTGAATCCATCTAAGACTGTTATTGAACAGACCTAGTAGATTTTGTAACTCGTTAAATTGTTATCTCATGGTCTAGAGAGTTAACAGTCTAAGAGCAGTATTATCACACCAAAATATTGGGTGCTTAACCCTAGGGTTCCACAAAAGCAGAAAGCGCCAACGCTTTCAGCACCAATATAAGCATTACATTTTTGCTTTAACTGTTTGCGAACTCCAATAACACGTGTCAGTCCGTGATTGATTGTTTTTATATATATTTTTTTAGTTAGAAAACAAAAAAAAAGAATTTTTTTTTAAAACACCCCTTTATTAGTTTCAGGATAATCTTACCCTAAACCGTTAGGATATTAATTAAACATTGTTGATGTAAAAACAGAAACCTTGATTTCTAATTTTTTTATGTTTAAAAGGTAATCCATTGGTTTTTAAAAAGAAAGAACCAATAGTAAAAGCAGTTACTGTTGAGTTGCGATATTTAGGTATTGTAGGCCATTTTCATTGACATTGTAAAAGTAATAGTTGAAATTCAGAGTGAGAAATTAGAATAGTGATACATATGAATAATGCTTTAGATAAGGACATGCAGATCTAAATTAATAATAATTGAGATGGAATACGTATTCTCAACTCTAGCGTTCAATTTTGTTTGCATAACACTGCGTATGCACATACTAATAGTAGATTTGATTTGACAATTCAAACCCATGATAGATATATATCGCTTTACGGGTCAACAAGCACAACAAAAATCTACCGACCATTTTTGTATTTTGTGCTTCACACTGATTGATCTTTATTATTTAAAACAGATAAATAGAACTCAAACTTCTGCCCGAAGCTCCGTACAAGACCGACATTGTATTTTTGTTTTTAATAACCGGATGTATAAGCCTAAAGTCCGACGTGTTCTCATGTGTTGGATTATCTTATGATGTTTTCATTAGATTAAGGTGATACTCGATCCACGTAAGGAGACAAGAATGTAAACAAATACTAATATAACAAAACCAATGTACAACTCACAACTAAAAGATATTACATTGATTAGGCGAGGATTTTGACAAATGATCACCATTTTCAAGTGGATTTTCTAGCTCACGATTACATCAAACATTTAAACTATCATAAAATACGGAATACTTGCTATTTTGGATTTAACTCAACTATCGTTTAGAACCTCTTTGAGCTGTCAGTTACTGTATTTATAAAAATGATTTAAGAATCATATCTTAATTAATGTGTGTCGAATCTTATCTAAAAATCTACAATAGAAGTAGTTCACGAAATCTTAAAAAAAGAGGAAAAGGTAAACGAAGGTTGGCGAGAGGGAGAAGTACGAACAAAAAGAGAGAAGCGTGAATGAGCTTTATCAAGGCCATTTTGACCATAACGCACGTCTCAGACTTAACTCAATACCAACATTTATATAATTGATAAAACTAACTAAAACTTTTTATATGTTTGTTTGATTTTGATTTCACATGGACTTTGGTATAAACAAGCATCAACACGAATATTTACTTTGGTCTAGATAATAAGCATTATTTACAAAATGAAAATTTACGTAACGTTGATAAAAGACAAACAATATAATCGATCTTCTATTTTATATAACAGTAAAAAAAATAACTAGTAAACTTTACGTGGAGTAGAAAAAACTTTTGCTCTAAAAATCGGCCGTTTAACTGCCTAGACGTTACTCTCTTCTGCGCTGATTTATGCAAAATCACTGTAAAAAATTAGTCGTCCGATTTTAAACCACCCAAATAACCGTCTAACCGCATAATCTATTTTTATTTTATTTTTTAATAATATTTTTATCTATTTATTTGATCTAAAATTTAATAAATATAACTTATAATTATAATTTTGATAAAAATTATCATATTAATTTTATATATTCTATTTGTGTTTTATAAGATTCCAAACATTTTTAATGTTATACACGTTTAAAGATTAACATATTTTATAACATATAAAATAGTTTAAAAATTATACTTGTATAATTTTTGCTTAATCCCTGATTTTATCTCTAAACGCTAGATCTAACCATGCCACCTGACTATCGCCTAGCACGTTTCTGAACATCGGAAAAAACTAGGTTCTCTGATCACAATTTCAGAATCACATGGATAAAACTCTTTTATTTTTTCTTCTCAAGAATTGCATCTATTACTCTTTCAGCAATCGAGTAAATGAAAGCCCAAACTACAACACAGTTTCAAAGAAAAACAAGTTTAACAGAGAAACTGTCCAGAGATGATTGTATATACTTGAGGTCTTCATATTTAAGACAATTTTTTTAATAAAAAAAAGGAAGAGGCAAATTCAGAAAAATTGCCTCTGTTGATCAATGCTTTGTGAACATTCCATCCATCAAGGAAGAGAAATCAAAGTCTTTGCCTGATTGAGAAGCTGGTGTGGTACTTGTTGTTTGCGCTGAAGTTGATGATTGAGGTTTACCGGTTGAGTTTGGGGTCATACCGTTTGTCGCGGGATTAACTTGACCGGTTCCGTAGACACTGCATTAGTAACAACATATTCTTATTTCCGACATAAATACTTACAAGTTGTCACATATTGGAAACCTGAGAGAGCTCATGAAAACAAGAGAGCACCTATTCAAATGTTCCTTAAATCAGAATACACTAAATCTTTTATGTTCAAAGTTGAACGCAAAACTGAATGAAAGAATACAGTTTACTTCTCTGTGTTTCTTTATCTAACATACAAACAGAAAGCATTTCTGTTTACATACCTGGATATTGGATATTGAAGAGTGTTCTCTTGCTGTTGTCCGGGTCTCACGTTCATGTTCATGTTCTAAAATCACAGCGATATAGGAGAGATCAAGATACAGTGAGAATTTATCATAAGCTTGGTCATAAGTAATTTAGATCTTGATGAAACAAATGCGGACGGGAGATACTTACTTGCATAAGTTTCTGGAGATCAGCTTGACCACCTCCTGGGTTAGTCATTCCAGGGACCTGGTAGCCAGTGTTTGACCAATTTGCGGATGCTAAGCTAAGAGCATTAGCAATAGCTTGCTGATTTACACCGTTTGGAGTGCCTCCTGCAGCTTTTGCTGCTGCAGCCATGTAAAGGGCTTGCTGCTGAGCAAGCATAGCAACCTGTTGCTGATGCATTGCAAAAGGCGACACGATATTTGTCTGTAACAAATGAAAGACATAAGAGTTATATCACTTGACCTAGGTTTGGAAATTGCAGATGTCTAGTGTTAGATCTAGCGTAACAAGACACAACACCTAGGTTTTGTGTTGGAAGCACCAGTCATTCTATATATGTAACTTGTGAGTTTAATAACGATACGATAAGGAAAGTTTGAAAACTGAGAATCAAGAGAAAGGTAGACCAAAAAGCAGTAAATATAAGAGGAGCACATTACTGACTTCAGAAATTACCTTCTCAAATAGGCTCATGATATCGCCTTTCACATCTTTCTGTGGTGCTTGTTGGGTTATTAAAGTAGGTGTGTCTTTAAACAAATCCTCGATCCCAGTAGCTGCAGGAGAACTGCTCTCATCAGCCTTTGGCGTGACACTTTTCTCTGCCGTTTGACCGTTTCCAGCCGCTACAGTTTTAGGATTCAAATATTCATACATTACTCTTAAGCAATTTCTAGAGAAGAAGAATAACATAGAGTTTACAAGGATATGAAAAATGTAATACAATGATTGTGACTAAGTCATGCACATGCTAGATAGATACATACACTGAAAGCCAGCCCATGAGTTGTCATCAGCAGGAGCTGCCTCTGAGGTTTTTGCATTTGGCTCGTCCATTGATAGCATGTTAAAGAGGTCAGTAGCAAAATCCACCTTTGGAGGCTCAGATGCGGGTGCAACATTTACTGCTGGTTTCGTCGTCTCCACAGGAGCGGCTACAGATTCTGTCTTCTGCTGTGGCTTTATAACCTATCATTTTTTTAGCTTCATGTATCAGAAAAACAAAACTTCAAATACTTCTATTATGAATGAAAATTCACGCTTTGAAAGATTATGATGCACTAGAAACAAAGTAGTCTACTAGATGTAAGAATACAAGGTCTGACATCTAAATCATCATATGCATTACTTCTGATATCCTAAGGCTATTAAATAAGATCATGCATGGGGATTCTTAATAATTATGAATAACTAAAGGCATTAATTTCTTTAGTCAAACCATATCGTCCGGGTAGTATGTTCGATACCTGACCAGGTCCTTGTGGAGGCACGGGAAGACTTATCCTCGTTGCGGAAACACTATTTCTTGTTCTAGGTGCTTGGACAGTTTTCTTTTCCTCAAACAAATTTACAGGACTACTACTGTGCCCATGCTCATAGACAGGCCCAGTCCTTTCCATAGATCTCCGCCGTTCCTGCTCGACTCTTGGGGGTGATCTAGCCTTTTCACCTCTAGAAACCCATCTCTTCTCTTCATACCTAGAAAAGTCATGTAACAAGATTAGTTCAATGTCAATCTGCATAGCAGGATTAAAACCCAATTTAACAAAGAAGAACTAACTGAGGGGTATGTAAACTGAAAAGAGAGAGGCATACTTTGCACGTATGAAGTTCTCAATACCAACTCTATCATAGTTTGGGGGCAGCTCAGCTTCCCAGTAACTATTTGCTCTCTCGTTTCCCATTGCTGCATGCAAAGAAAAGGTTTTATACTTAACATGGTGAAACTAATCCTGTAAAAATGGACCACCTACAGATAATTAATTTTCAAAGACTCTTACACTGAATAAATGCAACCTGCTCCGGGAGCCATGTGTCCAGCGTGGCAGATCGAACCTACACTCATCAGCAATCGCTAGAACAAATAAGTCTCTTATGCTTCTGCTAAGGTTAAAATCGACTTGGCCAGAAGGACTTAGCTTATATACGAATCAGAAGGCACAACTTAATCATTTACTTTGCGCAGAATTGCTTGAGGTACGTATTGGATAAATGCCATTTTTTTTCTAGCTAGAGAAGGGTCATCAAAGAAAAGCAGAGAGATTTGATGCACTCAAGTCAAAGTTCTCATCTACAGAACTACAGAAGTAAGCCTTGAGATGGAGATTCTAGATGAAACTGAAAATATGAAAAACTAATAGAAATAACGGTATGCAGAGAATCCAAATGGAATGAGTTTAGCAATAACAAGAAAACATATAATTAAGATTTCAGTTTATTTTTTGAATAAAAAATGCAGCATCTAGAAGACAGGTGTAAGAAAGGAAATTGAGAGAGAACCTTAGATATGTGTACCCCGAGACTCCTGTGGATCCCAGAACATTGCATACAGATAAAGATACCTAAATTAACACTAGCCCATCTTGGACCTCTGCAAAGCAAATATAGTATTAGCCAAATATATAACTGAGCCAGCAAAAAAAAAAGCTGATAATTCACATGTGCGACAAAAAAAACAATACTTAGTTTTGCAGTCAGCACATTCTCTGTTCTCTGGGTGTTTAAGAAGCCCTTCAAGAATCTGCACAAATAAAGTAGCACCAAAAACAAAGGGAATATTCAAACAATAGACTATCTCAAGGAAGAATCTGTAAGAGACTACACAAATAATAAGATAATCTACACCAAGAAACTATAAAAATGAAGGAAAGTTCTCAAAGCAGATACAACCATCCATGAACACAAACACCTAAACAATCGAAGACCTGACGTGTAAAATGAAAACCACGTTAACAAAGCCTTGGTTTGATTCTTCCAAGAGAATACAAATTTCTAAGTTGATAGAACCAGATCGTGATCAGTTATTGTCCTCTAAATGGATGATCTGATGAAATGAATAAAGGATCGGATCAACGATACGAAAAAAACGTCAGAGACCTCACCTAACTCTATGAAGAACTCTAGCTAGCTTCCCAAAACACGGATCCAATCGAATCTAGATCATCCGACAATCCATGATTAAGCATCGACCGTTGGCAATCGAAATCACTATCTATCTATCTATATATAAAAATACGAATCCGAAAAGCTCGGAGAAATTTAAAAAAAGAAACGATCTGAGATTTCGAGAGAGAGAGAGAGACCTTTCTATGGCGGGCATTAAGCTCCTTAGAGACATTGGCTTTCTCGTTCATGGTGGATTAGGGAGAATCGGAGAAAGAGGAAGAAGGAGCTGAAGAAGGCAAAAAATCTGCGGGAGAAGACGAGGTCAAAACGGTCTTTTCCGCGTTCACCGCTCTCTCAATCTTTCTCTTCTTCCTCTTCAAATAAAATATATCCTTTTTCTTTTCCCTACCTTTGAGAAGAGAGAGAGAGAGAGAGGTCAAAGCTTTTTGGACCGTTCAGATTATGGGGCTGGTTTGCCAATTCGGTTTTGTTTGTTTTCAGTTTCAAAATTCAATTTACTGGTTTGCCAATTCGGTTTTGTTTGTTTTCAGTTTCAAAATTCAATTTACCGGTTTGGTTTAGGTTTTAATTTTGTTCTATATATAAACTTAAGATATCTATACTATTATTTAAGAATTAAATTTGCTTAGTTGTCATGTTCTCCATAAGTTTAGATAATTTTGTTTATTTATCATATTTTTAATATTTATATATATTTATTTGTAAATAAAATGAATTTATATGAATATATCATATTTTAGAAAATAAGATAATTCTTGTGAATTATGTTGTTATCTTGAAATATATTATATATATAGATTTAAATTTAAATTAAGATATAAAAATTATATATAATTTATTTATAAATAAAACAAACTTATATGAATATATCATATTCTAGAAAATAAAATAATTATTTTCTATACTATTATTTCAGAAGTAAATTTTCTTAGTTGTCATGATCACATTTTATATAATTTATTTATAAATAAAAAGAATTTATATGAATATATCATATTTTAGAAAATAAGATAATTTTGTGAATTATGTTGTTATCTTGCAATATATTTTATATATAAAACCTTAATTTTAAATTAAGATATAAAATTATATATAATTTATTTATAAATAAAGCGAATTTATATGAATATATCATATTTTAGAAAATAAGATAATTCTTGTGAATTATGTTTTTATCTTGCAATATATTTTATATATAAAACCTTAATTTTAAATTAAGATAGAAAAATTATATATAATTTATTTATAAATAAAGCGAATTTATATGAATATATAATATTTTAGAAAATAAGATAATTCTTGTGAATTATGTTGTTATTTTGAAATATATTTTATATATAAAACTTAAATTTTAAATTAAGCTATAAAAATTATATATAATTTATATATAAATAAAATGAATTTATTTGAATATATATATTTTAAAAAATAAGATAATTCTTGTGAATTATGTTGTTATCTTGAAATATATTTTATATATAAAACTTAAATTTTTAACTAAGATATAAAAATTATTATATTTATTATATAACTAAACGGAATTTATATTAATAATTTTATATTTTTCTAAAATAAGATAATTCTTATGTATTCTGTATTTATGTTGAAAATATATTTTCGCATTATAAAAATTTAAATTAAGATATAGAAGTTATATTATTAACAATTAAATATAAATCATCAAAACAATCATTTGAAAAGAGAATTTGTTGATTTGTCTCCATGATCCTAGGTAATTTTGATAATTTATCAGAATTTCTCTAATTTTGTTTATTATTAATAATATGATATTTTAGAAAATAAGTTAATTCTTACGTATTATGTTATCTTGAAAATATATTTTTCTATTATAAAATTTTAAATTAACATGTAAAAATTGTACTATTATTTAAGAAGTTGATTTGATGTTTGTTGATTTTTCATATTTTCCATGATTTTAAGTAATTTTAACAATTTATCATAATTTCTATAATTTAATATATAATTTATTATATTTAAAACAAATTTATATTAGTAGTATCAGATTTTAGAAAATAAGATACTTCTTATGTATTAAGTTGTTGTCTTGAAAATATATTTTTTATCAGAATTTTTAAATTAAGATATACAAAATTGTAGTTATTCTATAATTGAAATAAATTTACACTAATAGTAGTATACTTTTATAAAATAAGGTAATTCTTATGTATTATGTCGTTATCTTGAAAATCTATTTTTTATATTATATAATTTAAAGCTAAAATATAAATATTATCTATTATTAATTAAATATAAATCATCACTCAAGAAAAATTATTTAAGAAGTGAATTTACTAATTCATTAAGTTCTCCATGATATTTGGTAATTTTAATTATATGTCATAATTTCTATAATCTTATATAATTATTATATAATTAAAACAAATTTATTAGGGCTGGGCAAAAAAACCTGGACCCGAAGGACCAAACCGAACCCGATCCGAAAAAGTAGTATCGAACCCGATCCGAAATTGATTCATCATCCGAATGGGTTCAAAATTTTAGTATTTAAAGAACCGAAACCGAGTCCGACCCGAACCGAAGTATTTCGAGTACCCGACTATATCCGAAAGAGATTTATATACCTATATATATTAATTATTTTAGATTTATTGTATATAAAAATTCAATATATATACATATATATATATATAATACTTTGAAATTTTTCAAAATACTTGTAAATATATGTAAATAGTCAAACATACATGGCTAAAATTGCTAAAGTACATTCAAAATATCAAAATACTTAAAAACAATTATTGATTTACAATCCAAATATTCAAATTAAACTAATTTATATGTTAATTTTAGGTATTTTGACTTATGTTATTTAATTATTTGTAAAATATTATTTTGTTTATAGATTTTTAGAAATTTAAAGTATATAATCAATTTTAAAATTTTTAAAAAGAATTTAAATGGGTTATCCGAACCCAAACCGAACCCGCAAGGATCTGAACCGAACCCGAACCAAAATTTAGAAATATCCGAATGGGGCTAAAATTTGTGAATCTGAGAACCCGAAACATGAATAGATTCGAACCTGAATGGGTACCCGAACGCCCACCCCTAAAATTACGATATACAAAATTATAATTAAATATAAATTAGGTAGAAAAATTTGTATAAATATTATAATATAATATAAATGAAGCAAAATATTATAGAAACATATTATTTTAAATATTTTCGATGTTCAAGTTTTGTCATTGATAATTATTTGATGTTTCATTTTGTTTTTTGAAAACATAAATAATAATTTATTATGCTGATTTTTAAATTAATGAAACATCAGCTAATCAAAATTTATAAGAGAATTATGTCCATAATTGCAGACAAAACACCTAGTTTATATGAATTTGTCTTTTACAGAAATCTAAAGGCCTTAATAGTTAGAGAGATAACTATTTTTTTTGGAACAACTGATGAAATATACAATATACAGACAAATAGTCTGTTATTAGATAAAACTAATCTCTCGTGTTAAATAATTGTACAAAGTCTCTTAAGATGCTCCAAAGAAAATCGTTCGTTATCGGTAGCACCTTGACAACCACTCCATCATGTTTCATGTTATACAATTCTTGTATGGAATAGTTTGATGTTGCATTTCATTAATGATCTCAGCTTTACTGTGATCATGAATCTTCATCTAGAATATAACTTTATGTGATGTGGCTTTACAAAAACTGTATGATGGAAAAACACATTATTATGATAATATGATACATCTTTAGATATTTTTACAACTTCATAAAAATCACTACTTTTAAAAAAGAAAAGGAAAAAAGACACACCGTTATGTAAAGACGCTTAGACATTTTAAAAACTTATTTTAAATCAATGCAACTTTTAAAATGAAAACACGCATCCTTTCACATATTTTTTGAATTTCACATATAACAATAACAATTAGAATTTCTCATTTTTATATGTGTTTTTTAAAGATCTTTAATGATTTTGGAACAATGAATCTCTCTTTTTCTCTACCAATTAGTTTATGATTTCTGATTGTTGTTATTTTCAGTTATTATTTGTTAATGTCCACAACTCCTTATATATAGTACTAAGGGTTTAAATAATTAGCACTAACAGTTGCAATGTTAGCCAAAAGTTACAATTGCTAACACCAACGTTGTAATGATTCATCACCAAAGACAATAATCACCAACAGTTGCAAGGGTATATCACCTCTGTAATCACCAATAGTTTTGTTGTTTCATTTGATCAGTTGCAAGTGTTCCATTAGAAAATTGCAATTGTTTATTTCAACAGTTGCAAAGATTCACTCAAATCTCCAACAATAATTTCTATTAAACTTTAGGATGAAAATACACATAACTAGGATAACCAAATACATCCTTAGACATATTCACAACCTTGTAAAACCATTACAGGATTTAAAATGAAAAACCACTATGAAAAGATAAAAGCTTAAACGGTTTGACAACTTCTTTTAAACTGTGCAATTTTGTAGGATGAAAATAGATTTTCATATTCACATTTTTTGGATTCTTATTATTAGTAGATAACATGGGAATTAATTTTTTTTTCTTGGAAAACCACATTAAACTTTGATTGTCTTGTAAATACATAACAAAATAAGAATTTGATTTTCGCTGTTATTTGTGTAGATAAAGGATTGAATTCAGCTATCTAATGTAGAGATTTTTGCAAAATTGACTCAAAACTCAAAGTCAAACACAAAACTAACTTCTTCTTTTGACTCATTTTGTTTTTGTCTTATTCACCCCAAATCTTCATTTTATTTACGAAAATGCCATTAATTTTTTTTTGTATTTTTTTCCGAAAATAACCTTTTTACTCTCTCAACCTCATCATCTTCAAGTATTTACAACATTGCCATTGCCATGAATACTCCCAACAACCTTGTACAACCAAGGTTTGAAGCTTTTAATGCACTTAATATCGATACCATACTCTCTTTCTCAATTGTTATGAACTAAAAACAACATCTCCTTCACTTTGTCTCCATATTCATACCAAAAACCCAAGCTTTTGATAGCAAAATTTTTATGGTTGATAGAGCCATTGAAGCATACAATTCTTGGTGGGTTACTTTCGTTTGATGTTCTGGGTGGTTGGAGAAGACTCTGTTTGCAAAGAAAGTCATCTCACCTAGTTTAAGGTATGAAATTGATTTTTTTTCCAGATCTGTTCACGCAGAAGACTTACCCGTAAGTCATTTGGATGTAGAAGACTTACAGATAAGTCTTCTGTGGTCAAACGGACGACTTACTTCTAAATCGTC